TGCAGGAGGCAGCCAATCAATGATTCTGTCTCATCATTGATGTTTCTCGCTCTTTCTCTTTTCCTCTCCGAAATCAATAAAAATATATCTAAAAAACAAACAAAAAACACACAACATATCTCTAGTTTGTCCATCATGAAGGGCTAATAGCAGTAATGCTTCTTTACAATTTAATTACTTAGTTTCCAAAATTAAGCCAGTTACCATACTTTGGCACCCTGACTTCTAATTGTTACCTTATTAGCATAAATTATCTTCAAAGTGCAGTGTAGTGCATGCATACACACATTGAATATGTAGTATATAGTACCATAGTATACTATACTCTTTTCTGCAGAGTTTTCAACTGAGTTAAAATTTGAATAGGGGTTTGCTTGAATGTTGCATTACTGAGAATATATGCATAGAGAACCTGTTGAACTGAAGGTGTATGTTCCAATCTCATTAAATAAGGATTTATTTGTTTTTATCTGCTTAGAAAGTATTAAGAATTATTTTGTACCTTTACCCAGTGTTGTCCAAAATAGAGATACAGTGAGGAGCCTATTCTTCGAGTCTCTAACTATAAGGAAGGCCTATGGCCTATTGTAAAGGGCTCTCCCAATTACGACAGGCTTAGCCAGGAACTATCTCTTTTGAGAAACTCAAAGTCAGTAAATGATTAGAGATCTTGATTACACCTGTAATATTCCCTCTCTTTTGCCACAAAGCATGAGTAGTATCCTATCACCTGTGTCATATTCAATTGGTGAGAAGCATGTTACAAATTCCACCACCATTCAAGGAGAGGGAATTCTACAAGGACAGCTCATACTATGGTGTGAACCTGGAATGAAGAAGAGTCTAGCTTCAACAGGAGATAGTGTCTTGTTTTAACCCTCACCCAAGGATATGTTTTTACTGATTTTAGAGAGAGATGAAGAGGGAGAGAGAAACATCAATGTGAGAGAGAAACATTGATCAGTTGCCTCCCATACATGCCCCACCAGAGACAGAACCCACAACCTAGGTATATTCCCTGACTGGGAATGGAACCTTCAACCTTTTGGTGTACAGGACAACACTCCAACCAAGTGAGCCACCTGGCCAGGCAGGAGATAGTGTCATTTTGTGCCCAATCTATGGTTATTTCAGATTGAATAGGGGAAATAGGTAGCAGCTGATAGATTCCTTGTATTGTTTTCCTGGTTTGTGAAGTGAGAATCATTATGGCAGGAAGGGGTAAGTAAAAAGCCATGAAAGTGCCACCAACCTCCATAAAAATAGTAAATCAGAAGCAATGTAGCTTCAGTAGGGCAAATGGAGAGTACAGAACTGCCATCAAATAGCTAAAAGATGTGGGGATGGCAAATCCTGTCACATCCCCATTTATATCTTATATCACTGGCTTGATCTGTGCAAAGTCCAATGTGCTTGGGAAATTGATAGTAGGAGTTCATAAACTAAATAAGATAGTAATGCCAATTGCAACTGCCATAGTGAATACAATGTTTGACTTGGAAAAATACTCATAACTCTGGCAACTGGTATGCAGCCACTAGCCTGCCAAATGTTTTCAGTTACATCTCCATTAGAAACAAAATCAGAGCAGTTTATGTTTATGTAGCGAGGACACTAGTACACCCTTCTTTCCTTGTTCTTTCTATTACGATATTTAGAGGACTTTTAGTCATCTTGATATATCTCATAATGTCTTTCTGATCTATTACCTTGATGATATTATGCTAGTTTGATCTAGTAAGCAATAAGTAGTAAGAATCCTAGATTCCTTACTGTTAGATAGGCTTCCAAGAGTGTGGTAAATAAACCCTCAAAAATTTAAGACAACTTATTGGTTAAGTTTCTAGGAATTCACTGATATGTAGCATTTAGACATACTCCTATTAAAGTAAGGGAAGCCTTGCTCACTTTACACCACCCATGAAAAGAAGGAGCCACAGTGTGCAGTGAGAGAGACCTTTGGGATTTTAGAAGCAACACATTCTACATTTGACTCTTTTGCTCTGTTCATTTTTAGATGACCCCTATGAAGGACAATTATGATAGAGACTTGGAACACTAATTTCTTCAGCAGGCCCAGGATGTATTAAAAGATACCCTACCATTGGATCATATGACCCTGCATATCTAAACATATTGGAAGAGAGAGGAAAGACAGAGAGAAGCAATGATGTGAGAGAAACACATTGATTGGTTGCCTTCTGCATGAGCCCTGACCAGGACCCAGCCAGGGAGCATCCTGCAACCAAGGTACGTGCCCTTGACCCTGGGACCTTTTGGTTCGCAGGCCGACACTATATCCACTGAGCAAAACTAGCTAGGACAATAACACAATCTTTTTAATTGCTATTAATTACTTTGTCTCCTCCTTCATTTAGGTTTAAGTATGGTAAATGTCTATTATTATTAGTCGTGGGGATACTGCCCTATTCCCTGTGGTGCAGTTTGTGCCGAAACTGTTGTAAATAGTTCCTTATTATTAATTAATATTACTATTGAATTATCCTAATTTGAGTCTGATATCTATTTACTATGGTGTTCTTCACACACAATGGCAGAGGCCAAAACACATTTGAAAGAGGAAAAGAGATAATATCTTAGAGTTCATCCTGATATTACTCTTTAAGAAAAAGCTGGAATCCAGGAAACTTCTCAACAATACATCTTAATTTTGTAGATAGAGACTCAATAGCAAACAGACTCAATTTATATTGCTTGTAGATTCAACTAGACAACCAAATAGAAAGAAATCAGACAGTTTAAAGGGGGAAAATACAAAAAAAATCAACATTAAATACCCTTGGGAATGAGTGAACTTCAAGGTGACATATAGTAGGTAGGAAGAAAAAAATGTTACCAGACCAGAAAAAAATTGATATTACCTTAAAAGAAGACGAGAGCCTGGCCAGTGTGGTTCAGTGACTGAGTGTTGACCTATGAACCTGGTGTTCATTGTTTGATTCCTGGGCTGTGGGCTCCATCTCCAGTAGGGGGCTTGCAGAGGATTCTCTCATCATTGATATTTCTCTCTATCTCTCCCTCTCCCTTCCTCTCTGAAATCAACGTACATATATATGTAGGCATGTGTCTATTTATCTTCCTACTAGAGGCCCAGTGCGTGAAATTGTGCAGTAGCCCGCTACAGCTCGCAGCCCCACTCACCCTCTCACTACTGCTCACTGCCCCACCCACCCGCCGCCCGCCTTGCTGTGATCGGAGCCTGTGGGTCATGAGGGGAGGGACCAAGAGGTGCTCTATGCACCTCATGGTGACGGGTCATTTGGTCATCCTAGTCATCACGGACACTGGCTTTTTTTATATATAGATGTGTCTGGCATCTATTTTCTTTGTATCCTCATCAGCAGTCTATATTTGGAGGTTAATATAGAAAGAGCTTTTCCTTTGGCAGATCTGGCTCTACTGTGGAAAGCCCACATGAAGTCGCCCTGACTATTCTGGCCACAGCAGAATAGAGTCCTGCAGTTGGTAAGACTAGCTTAGCCCCTAGGAGAGCAGCAGGATAGCAATGGCTGTAAATTTAAAACAGAAAATTGCCATTCTTGAGATGTGGATACATTCTAGTTGAACATAACTGTGACTTTAGAAAGACATTTTTCTGCTTTAAATTCACAGTAATTGAACCTGTAGGTTGACTTCCCTCTCTAGGGGCTAAGCCAGCATGGCCATTTTGAAAAATATGCCCCTTTGTGACCTAAAGAACAATAGACATTTCAAACAATGGGCTCAAAGGCAAAGCACACTGTGCATGGGGAAATGACTAAAATATCCTGAAAGGATTTCCAGTGCTGGGCCTTTGGAGAGTGGTTCTGGCCCTGTACACACTTTCCTGCAAATACTCAGATTTAAACACACACACAAAAATAAAATACATCCTATTGTTTACCATACCTATTATTTTAAATAATCATCTGGGAATTTCTTGTAAGCCTCATTCTTTTGTTTTGTTTTACTTTCTCCTCCTTTACTTGTATTAACATTCAATAACTGAATAAACCAGTTCATGAAATATAATAATGCTAGAATGAGCCTTGGACAAATTGGTGAAGAAAAAAATTGGCAGCATCCCGTATACATTCCTTTGTATCATGGCTTTCTTATTCTATTAAAAATATATTCTGTGAATCACTCCATAACAGCTCACATATTTTCATTTATTTTTATAGCTCCATAGAATTATATGTTGTTGTCTCAATTCTCAGCCCTATTTGGCCTGAAGCTAAAGGAGATAAAAACTCCTTCAAATATAAAACACAGTCTTTTTTTCCACCCAAGATATTACTTGGAAATTTAAGATTTTGATTTTTCTTTTCCCCATGTAAATTTTCCAGTACTGTCAGAAGTTACCACAACATGCCACAACCTTTTTCATTACTGTTTTCACCTAAATAACTATCAAAGTCCTAGGTCAGTCAATATCTTGTTCTCCATCTACACTTCATTTTATACCATCACTGATGATAATATAGGTAATTATGATATCCCATATGCCATTACTTTTTGTCACCCTTAAATTATATAAATTATACTTACATGGGGGAAAATGGCATTCCCTTTTTATATCTACATTTTAATGCAGTTTTACAATGAGAATATCCAGTGTGTGTGTGTGTGTGTGTGTGTGTGTGTGTGTGTGTGTGTGTGTGTGTATGGTGTGTTCAGCCTTGTTATTTCTCAAGCCTTTGCTTCTATTCCCTATTCAACCATTAAAACACAAGACTCTTGGGTATTTTACTTTGAGGTAGGTTGCTACAGGTTGATGACCCAGCTAAAACAATTTAGAAAAAGACAGCTAAGTTTAAAATAATTCCAGCCCTAGCCAGTTTGGCTCAGTGGATAGAATGTTGGACTGTGGACTCAAGGGTCCCAGGCTTGTTTCCAGTTAAGGCACATGCCTGGGTTGTGGGCTCGATCCGCGGTGTGGGGCAGGAGTCAGCCAATCAATGATTCTCTCTCATCATTAATGTTTCTAAATCTCTCTCCCTCTTCTTTCTTCTCTGAAATCAACATATATAGTATTGGTATATATACACACTGAGTGGCCAGATTATTATGACCGGCCAGATTATTATGACCACCCCATCAGTACTTCGTTGGGCCACCTTTTGCCTTTAATACTATGGGGATTCTTCTTGGCATTGACTCCACGAGATGTTGAAAGGTGATGCGAGGAATCTGACACCATGCCTGATGAATAGCACTGTCCAGTTCTGTGAATTGGATGGTTGTGGAACCGGCTGCCTGATGGCTCTTTTAACTTCGTCCCACAAATGCTCAATTGGATTGAGATCTGGTGATTGTGGTGGCCACCTAAGCAAGGTAAAGTCTCCCTCATGTTCTTGAAAACACTCCTGGACAATACGAGCACCGTGGCATGGCGCATTGTCTTGTTGTAAGAAGCCATCTACATTGGTATTCACCATCAACATGATAGGATGGACTTGATCAGCAATGATACTTAGGTATGTTGTGCTATTCAGACGTTTATAATGATCTGGCCCTCTAGCAACTTCAGCGTGAAATTATAGCTAATTTGCCTACAAACGTCAGGTAGTCATAATAATCTGGCCACTCAGTATATATATATTCCCATATTTTAGAAAGAATTAGTGGTCTATGGAAGCAATGAGGAACAGAATAAATAAAATTTAAAAGTGGGAAAAGACTTTCTGAGATTAAAAGATAATGCTGACAATTGCCATCCAAACCTTTTCTTCTGGTTTTTAATCCTAGATGTAGACCAGCTATCTGGCTTGGTCTAAACAAAGTACCTCAGGTTAGGAAAAAATGAAATCCCAAACCTTTTTGAAAACACACACACACACACCAAACCCCAGAGGATTGATGTGAGAAGCATTGGAATATATGACTCCTCAAATGTATGACTGGCTTTCCCAAAGAACATTTATTTACTGGATTTTGAGATTGCATAGAAGCCCACTAAGTTATACACAAAATCTTGTAAAGGCAAAGTGAAATCTCCCAGAGTTTCATGGTGTTTAAGAAATAAAGGAGTCCAGTCAAGATGGCAGTATAAGTAAATGTGGTATTCGGAACCTCCTAAAACCCTATCAAAATTACAACTAAACTATAGAACAAATATCATTCAGAAAAGCCTGAAATCTAGCTGAACAGAAGTTTTATAAGTAATGATATAAAGAAGAAACCACATTGAGATTGGTAGGAGAAGCAGAGATGCAGAAACAGTGGGTCTACACCCATGTGTGGAGGTTAAAAATCAGGAGGGCTATATTGGCTTCAAAGGTCCCACCTGAGGAGCCAAGGATCCTAATCTCACACCAGAATCCCCAGCCCAGGTTTCTGCTGGGAACAAAAGTCCTCATAACTTCTGGATGTGAAAACCAGCGGAGATTATGGCTGAGTGAGATGGAGGGCGTTGGTGACTCAGTTGTTCCTCATTAAGGGCCTGTGCACCAACTTATTCAGATTCACTGTCTCTGAGCTCCAGCACTGGAGCAGTAGCTCAAAAAGTGCCAGGGACATATGGGGAGGAACTGAATTGTCTGGCTTCAGAGTGAGAGCTAGAGGGACAGCCAGACAGAAGTGCTGGAAGAGATCATTGTTCCTTTGCTGAGCCCTCCTCCAACCCCTCCAAAGAGCCAAGAGGCAGGCACCATATCTTAGTCTCCCATAAAACTGGCTAACTCTGTTAGCCCCATCTTGGTGATTCCCTGAGAGCCTGCCCCACCTAACTTGCAGGCCCACCCATGCCATTTGAGTGGCTTTTCCATACAAATGGCCTCTGTTGTATCATGCTTTGAACATTACTAAAATCTCTCAAACAAGTTGCAGCTGGCCTCTGGCATATGCCATACCTCTCACTAAGTGACCTCAGGCCTGGCAGTAGTGGCAGCCAGCGTTAGTTTGCAACTTGGCCTCTCCCAGGCACCTCCAAGCCCAGCATAAGTAGCAGCCATCTGCAGATCATTCTTTAGCTCATGCAGGGTGGCTCCAGGCAGGGCATAAGTAGTGGCTGACCTCTGTCTGCATCTCCTGGGAGACCCCAGAGTCACTGCACTTGGTGAACAGCTTCAGACGACACCAGATTACAACCCAACCACCTCTATGAGTGTTTGGGAGGGGGAGGGGGTTGGCCCCTGCAAGAAACTCTTCCATTATAGTTAAGCAAGTCTTTGCAGCTGATCAGCATGGTGGTCATTTCCTCGCAGTGATGTGCCAAGGGGAGAGGGGTTGAGGAATGGGTGGAAAGTGATGTTAGAAAAGTTAGTCTGGCATTAGATTACAGTGTAGATTTCAGTTGAGATCATTTCATTTTAAGATAAAATAAACACTGCTTTTTCAAGAAAAAAAACTTGAACAGTATTTATTTCCAACAAACTCAGACTGAGAAGCAGTTTTCTTCCTTCCTGAGTGACAATGAGAGACATCTGTACCTATTTTTTTTTCTAATGTCATATTTACAAATATTTCATGGCCATTCCAGGCTTTGACAACAGAATGTTGAGAATCCCCTACACTATGTCAATTGGTATTTATCTTTCTTGGGAACAAAATTTAGTATCAAAAGCACAATGAGGTAATTAGGAATTTTCTAAGCTTTAAGCAAAGATCTCTATCAATTTGTATTTTGAATATTTAATGACTTTATTAATTGAGTTCTTCACATCTATGGAAGGCCTAAACCAGATTAAAATATACTAGTTATGAAAGAGATAGATATTAATCATTTAGCAGTTCAGTTTATTAAGATCTAAAAGGAGAAATATTTTAAAAGAAAAATTTCAAAAGAGATACATTCTTGTAAATAAAGTGGAGCCCTATTTTTCTTTTATATAGAAAAATTTAATGATTTTACAACCCTAATGAGTTGCATTATATAATAATACAAAAATCCTTAAATTATATTGAAATGATTCTAAATAATCCCTCCCATAAGAAATTCATATTTTAAATAATACCAGAAATGACAGCACTTACGTTGTATAAGCAGAACTATTGTAAAAACTTCTTGTATCAGCACAATGGCATTGAATTTCTTTTGAAATATTTAAGAAAGATATTTTGTCATTAATTTAACATTAAATAGTTTTAAATATAATGATTACTTAACTTTGAATAATAATTCTATTAAGAAATACAAATTCTTATAATGCAAATAATGGGAAATTACACAATTCTCATGAAATGAAATGCCAAAATCCACTAGTATTTCTTTATTTTTGCAGAGTGATATTTAAATTATATTTGTCCTTCTGCCTTAATACATGAGCTGGTCATATCATAGTGCTAATCAGGTAGTAGTGCATCCCATCTAAATTGGTGCCATTTTTGTTCCTATTTCATTGGTCACAGATTATAAAGTCAAATGTACGGAACTTGCCAGTATGTTCCATTAGCTATGAGAAAAGTGGTTGGATCAAAACAAAACAGACTACAAAAACATTTCAAAATAAATACATGTAATGCTGGGCTATTGGTAATATTGTCATAGTTCAAAGATGATATATATACTGAGTGGCCAGATTATTATGATCGGCCAGATTATTATGACCACCCCATCAGTACAATGAAGTGAATTAGTTATGCAAATAATAATAATAAAACCTTGAGAATATTTGCTTAGGAAGTTTTCAATATTCAGTATTTTTGGAAGTGTCAATGAAGTACTGATGGGGTGGTCATAATAATCTGGCCACTCAGTATATATATATATATATGAGATAGAGAGAGAACACTATTCTTTCACACAAATCCATTTCCTTTGCTATTTCAAAAGATAGATTTAAGTTGGAAGAAAATGTTTTTAAATACTTTTTGTGCAAAGTATGCATTTATATGAAGAAAATGTTTTAAATACGTGCTGTGCAAAGTATGCTGCAAAGCAATAAGACATATTTGCTTCTTAAAATGGTATTATATGGATATGTGATTTCTAAGGTTGTTGATGTCTTTGGTAGTATTATTATATATCTTAAAAAGCATTGGTTAAAAGGCATTAAAGCCTAAGATGCAATTTTAAAAGCATAATAAATATGTACTGTAATGTAGAAGCTGAGTAATTAAACAGAACTCTACCTGTCTTACAATAATTTGTCAGTATTACTGCTTTATGGGGAATACATTCACTGCAGAGAACTTTTACCAAACCTACATACACAGTGCCTCTTAAAAATCATTACAGTTATTTTTATAATATCCCTGCAAGTTAAGTGCTACCAATTCTATTTTTCACTTAGAGAAATTTAACTGCCTTATTCAGTTCAAATCATAGTTAAACCTTATAATAGAACACCTTGCTCTACTGTATATGGAGTGATAATATATATAGGATATGCAATGCACATGTAACTCACTGAATCATATGACTTAAACACAATGTTGTGCTTAGTCCTAAAACTGGAATTATTATTTATTTGTTTATATCATTCATTTTTAATTAGCTGTAGTAAAGCAGCTTGCTATTTAGGAGTGAGTCTTCATTTGGCTCATCAGCTTTCCCAGTAGATAATTGACTGTCCACTAATAGCTAACTGTTAAAACATATGGGATTCTCTGAATTAGCAACATGAAATCTCTTCTCTGTAGATTCTTCCAGATTCTGGAAGAATCTTTTGTTCTTCCAGAGAACAAAAATTGAAGTTATTTATTGCAGCAATATTATATTTGATGATAGTGTACTACACATCAAAATGTATCATTCTTATGAGGATTCATGGGACGAGATTCACTGAGGTCTTAGAAATGTGATAGACTTTCCTAATTTTGTCTTAACTTTACTTTGGGCACTCTGATCCCATAAGTGAGGCTCTGTCTCCCTTGACTGGGATTGCTAGGAAGCTCAGGGCACATTTGTGGCCCACTCCTAACAAGCGTGTAGAACCTTATGGCATGCGCTTCATCCCTCGGTTCATTTCATTTCTCTCACCATTAATACCCGTCACTGATAGGTCCACACTTACTCATATTGCTGTGCTGTTTGTGTTTTAAGCTGTCTAGATACGTCATAAATATAACTTTACTCAGATTAATTTCACAGAAAATTTGAGGCAGTTCTCTTAGACAAACTTAATACAGTATAAATATAGCAAAGAGATACATTATCACAGGAAATATGGGTGTGAATTAAGCAAATATGTAGATCTGAGTCTAATATAACTTTTAAAAATCGGGCTGCAGATTTGGTTCAGTACTTTCTTATGATCAAAGGAAAAGACATTTGATTAATTATAAAATTTATATTGTCAACTAAGAGAAAAATTTTTAAGAAGCATGTTGGCTCCAGTTATGTCATTTTTTTCTCTACAATTTAAGTTGACAATAAAGACATTATTATGGTATTCAATATTATTTTTATATAAAATGTTTACTGCTGAATCAAGTGAACAGATAGTATCATATGTAAGGAAATATTTTCTGTTTCCATGATATGTAAGGCTGAGGAGAGTAATTAGTAGCAATGATTTATACTACATAATCAAAATAACTCCCACATACAAATAAAATGTAATATAAATACTAAGAAGAGAAATTGGGAATATTTTATTTTATAATTACAAAGTGAAATATAGATAAATACTTTGCTCTAATGGTAAAATTGTATCTTAATCAATAAATATAAAATACATTTCTCAAAATATTTATAAGCCTCATAGCTACATCTTAACAAAGACCTTACTTTAAAAAGAGTTTTGATGGCACTTTACAGCCTCAATAATAATATGGTCCAAGAACATCTTCAATGCCTTCCCACTCCTCATTCCAAGCTGGAAAATAAATATATGAGAGGTGCATGTGCATGTGTCAATTTAATATGCTAAAGTGACATTTAAAATATGTAGGTGTCAACTAATTTAAAAATACTTTAAGCCCAGCTTATGTTGTTCAGTGGATGTCAAGGTTTGATTCCTTGTCAGGGCACTTGCCCAGGTTGCTGGCTAGATCCCCAGTAGGGGGTGTGCAGGAGGCAGCCAATAGATGATTCTCACTCATCACTGATGTTTCTATCTCTCTTTTCCTCTCTCTTTCTCTCTCTGAAATCAATTTAAAAACATATTTAAAAAATAAATAATTTGAAGAAATTATCAATACCAAAAAAGTTGCATTTCCACTTTTTACTATTCACAAAAAATATAAAAATATGAAGTCAGATATATTTATGATGTTGAAGCCTAGAAATTCTTTTTTTAAAAGTGTATAAAATAGGTACTTTTAATGTAATATCAAATTGATAATATTTATGTAAAAGTATATAGTAAACAAAGTCCAAGGAAAAATAGCAGAGTGGGAGAAAATATGTATAAGATATAAGAAAAGTAACTAAGTCCATTTAGGTTGCCATAATAAGATACCATAGATAGGGTGGCTTATAAACAATAGAAATTTATTTCTCACAGTTCTGGAAACTAGAAGTCCAAGATTAAGGTACCAGCAGATTTGGTGTCTGGTGAACTCCCTTCATGGTTTATTGATGTAGTCTTTTCTCTGTATCCTCTAATGGCAGAAGTGGGCAAAGGTGCTAGCTCTCTGGGTCTCTTTTATAAGGGCACTAATTCTATTTATGAGGGGTCCACCCTCATGACCTAATCACCTCCCAAAGGCCCCACCTCATAATACCACCACATTGGCAGTTATCTTTCAATGATTTTTTTTGAGTGGGGGGGACACAAACATTTAGTTTTTAGCAGTCTCCAAATCAAAGAAATCTTCTCTGACACCTTTTCTGTTGTTGTTGTTCAGATAAGACAGAAGAGGTGATTTATTGTACATGTTACATTCAGCCACAACTGAGAACAGAACCAGTCCAGAATGTCACAGGTCCAGGGCAAATATCCAAAAGGGACTGTTTTTGTAAGAGCAGGGTGGGTCTCTGAAAAGATGGCCATGTTGTTCAGATGGCATGAATGTTCTAGCTCCCATCGAGAAGTTCTAGACAACAGACACGCAGTTCAACAACGTGTACCAGTGTCCCCAGCCTCTGGCTTCTCTGTTTCTGCTCCTGTGGCTCTCACAGGTGCACAAGCTTGTGGTTTACTTGGACCTGTGCCTCATCTTTCTTCTTTTGTGCTTCAGCCTGCACATTCGCTTCTTCCTCCACTTGGCTCCCATGGCGCAGAGATTTCTAAGACGATGGCACTAAAGCCAAGAGCTCTGACATCTTAACTAATGGAACAAAACCCCCAGCCCATCCCTTTCTCATTTCTGATCTTGCTCTATTATGCTTATGGCATTCACCTTTGCTGGGCATAATCCTATATAATAAAAGCCCTGTGACCGAATGGCGGAATGACCAGAACGACCCGTCGACCAGTTGCTTTGACTTGTACTGACCACCAGGGGGCAGACGTTCAATGCAGGAGCTGCCCCCTGGTGGTCAGTGCGCTACCACAGTGGGAGTGCCACTCGGCTGACTGGGATGAGTGGCTGCTCCCGCTGCGAACCCCTGGCTGACGGGTAGGAACCCGGGCTGCGATCGTTGCCTCCTCACCCCAGGCTCCTCCTCCTCACTCCTTGCTGCCTCCTCCTCCTCACTCCTTGCTGCCTCCTCCTCCTCGCTACTTGCTGCGGATGCCCGCAGGCCACAAAGTGCCACCGCTGGGCTCGCAGAGCTGACCCCGGAGGCCGGGAGGTGGGTTCATGGCCACCGCGGGACTGAGGCCTACTCCACCACCTCTCAGTGCTATTGTCCCTGGGTCCGGCTCCGACCGGGTCCCTTGGAAAGGTGAGTGATCAGGCTTTACAGAAGATGCTGGACCAGGGAGCAGCAGCTCAGAGGGCGGAGGTCCCCTGGAAAGGTGAGTGCCCGGCTCCACGGAAGATGCTGGACCAGGGAGCAACAGCTCAGAGGGCGGGTCCACAGCCGCTGGGCTGACCGGGATGAGCGGTGCTCCCACAGCGGGCCGATCCCTGCAGGCCATTCCCCCTACCAGTGCACAATTCCTGTGCACAGGGCCTCTAGTACAATGATGGCGAACCTTTTGAGCTCGACATGTCAGCATTTTGAAAACCCTAACTTAACTCTGGTGCTGTGTCACATATAGAAAATTTTTGATATTTGCAACCATAGTAAAACAAAGATTTATATTTTTGATATTTATTTTATATATTTAAATGCCATTTAACAAAGAAAAATCAACCAAAAGAATGAGTTCGCGTGTCACCTCTGACACGTGTGTCATAGGTTCGCCATCACTGTGCTAGTATTTCATATTAGCTTACTTGTAAGTTTATTGTCTATAGTTTCCCCACTAAAAGACAATGTCTGTGAAAAAAGGAGGGCTTTCACCCTTCCGAACATGGTCTTGGTCATACAGAAGAGCAGCTACATATTGCATATCATGTTCACCCCAAATCTTTTGTGCTTTTCTCCATGTCTATCATTCTCTAACCACCCCCCTCCCCCCAGCCCCTTGCAACTAGAGTTCCAGCTTAGGTTTTGCCAAAACAGACACTTGTTGATACTTAGAACAAAGGGAAGCAGAAGTCAGTATTGTTTCTGCTGTGGAAATGGGAAGGGCACAGGTTTCGATGGAAACCAAGGACTCTTGCCAGCAACCTTTGTAAATCCCCTACTTTAGAGCAATAAGCATGTACTAAAGAACCTTGGTGGAGGTTTCTGATGCTTTCTGCACGTCCTGTTTTAAGGAATACTACAGTGACCTCCCAAGCCCCTTCCTATCAATAGTTTCAATTCTTTTTAACTTCCAATTTCTTGTATTAAATTTGCTTTTTGTGTGTGTGTGTGTGTGTGTGTGCGCGTATGTATGTATACTTGGAAGTCACCACTTTCTGTTTAAATATCGTCTGCAGGCTTTATTTACTCAAAGCAGGAAGATTTTCACTGGCCCCAGTGGTTTTTGATTTTGATCCTGGAGAGACTGCTCAACAGGCCACTCAAACACAGTCTTCCCTGTGGCCGGCAGGGAAGAACATGTTTTCATGCAGAGCTCCCGCTGGCCAAACAAACGCCAAAAACGTGCCTGACTTCCTGCAACCATTCACCATCCAACCGAGCTTCTGCGACCCATACAGAGCTCCGTAACCATCTTAAATTAAGGCTGGCGATGCCACAGAGCCCACACTTGAAAACTGTACTCACAAGCCCATATGCTCTTAACTGACCTTTTCTATCCTCATCAGAAGAGTGGCAGACATTCTTTTCAGGTTGGTATTAGGCTACGCCAGTTCAGTACATCTTTTTTTTTTTTTTTTTTTTTTTTT